TTGGTGGTTCAAACCCACTAGCTACTCCTCAGAAATCCCATACAGAGTCACTATGAGTTGGAACAGCAAGTCCTACTGAGAGGTCACTTCTGATTATGGTCAATGGGGACGTGGATCCCTGGAGAAAAAGGCAGGCACCTGTCAGACCCTCACGCCACACTTTCCTGACTCTATAGGATAAGCACTGGACTGGGAACCACAAGGTCGGCAGTTCAAGCCTACCATTCAGTCTGCAGGAGAAAGATGAGGCTGTCTCTTCCCATTTACAGTCTCAGAAACCCTATAGGGGGTAGCTACCAGTCGCTTGATGGCAGTGGGTTTGGTTTGGGTTTGATAGGTGCAAATAGCTAGCTCTTAGCTGGTAACTGAAGGTAGGAGGTTTGAGCCCATCAAGCGGTACTTTGAAAGAAAGGCCCTTGGAAACCCTGTGGGGCACACATGGGGTCACCATGAGTTGAAGTCAACTGGTACCAGTAGCATGCATTAGATTTGGGGTGAGATATGCCACACCTAGGCTGGCATTTATGAGGTAGGTTGTCATGAAACCTGTTCTGAAGCCACAAAAGTGGGTGCTCTGGAGGGTGGTGGCTTTCCCAAGGTCACACAGCCAGCAAGTGGCAGAAGCAGGACTCGACAGCACATAGGAGTTAAGCACTAGCTGAAAGGCTGATGGTTCGAACCCACCCAGAGGCACCTTGGAAGACTTGATGATCTGTTTCCAAAAGGTCCCAGTCTTGAAGACGATGGAACGGTTCTACTCTGCATATGTGGGGTCACCATGAGTCAGAACCAACTGATAGCAACCAATAACAAGGTCTTTAGAGGGACGCTCAGGGTCCAGGGACAGATCTGGATGCCGACCCAGACAGTGTCCCCTGACTTCCTGAGCTGACAGTTCCTGGTGGCTCCTGAGGTGCAGAGAGCGGGCAGGAGAGAGGTCTGCTCTGTCCTCACTTCTTGGAGCTCTGACAAGTGTCTTTGCAACTGATGGCCCCTCTGGTTCTCTCCCTCTCTATTGCATCAACATACTGCTTCCCAAAGCCAGACCAGCTGGTTATCACCTTCCACACCTCCACCACAACCAGGAAGCCCACTAGCAACTCCTAACAACCAAAGCCTGGCCTCCCTCACCTGCTTCCTTTAACGACTACTGAGAGTACTTAATGAAGAATGATCTCGACCCTGAGCGCCCACTCTTCACCACCTCTCAGCCTCTGGACTTGTAAAAAGAATAGGAGTCCAGAGACCAAAGATGGAGGCATTGCCCTCAACTCTCTGCCTGAATAATGTGGACGAGTCACTGCAACTTGTTAGGTCTCAGTTTCCTCATCTGTCAAAAGGGGAAAACAGGTTACCACTCTACTTGAGGAGATACTATGGAAATGACAGTGGTGCTACAGCTTTATGGGACCCAATATAAACTGTAAAATGGTGTGTACCCACTCAGGGGGACACAA